AGTTTCGGTTGAACATAGCCCACCCCCTCAGCCCCTCCCCCCCTGGCAAGGTAGAAAGGCTTAGTCCGTACTGAAGAGGCCGTTAAGAAGTTCACTTGCTTGACCCCAGGCAACCCTCCTCTCTAAGAAACCTCCGAGTCCAACAAACACTAAAGAAGCACCATCCCAACAGCATTCTTTGACAACGTCCCATGTAGACGATGACATGGGGTGGTCGTTGTTTTTTTGTTTTTTTGTTTTGGGGGGGGGAAGGGTTGTGTTGTGTGGGCGGGGGTGGTGGGGGGGCAGGCGGTTCTCTATATTTTCATAGGAAAACCGTCAATATTTCCGTCGGAAACATGTTTCTGTAGAAAACCATGATTTTCTCTACATTTACAAAGGGAACGCTCTATTGGTGTGCATTTACATAGGACAACAAACCTCCATTTAAAATTCTCTATATGTCCATAGCAAAACTTGCATTTTGTCTATAAGAAGAAAAGATTCACATGATTTGAAGCAAGCCTGCACAGCTCAAAAAAGGGGGGGGGGGGCTGGGGGGGGGCCAAAAAAAGACTCATTATTCTTTGAAGCAAGCTTGCACGGCTTAAAACAAGCGGGGCGCCGGCGGGGGGGGGCACAGCCCGCCCCCCCCCCCCCTTTGCAAAAAACACACGATCACAGATGGGTGGAAAAAGACCATAGGAGAATATCGCTTGAAGCAAGCTTGACGGCCCCCATTTGCAAACACATCATCGCATTGAGGCTGAAAAAAAGAGGGTCATCTGTGATTTGAGGCAGGAGGGTTTGGGGGGGCGCAGCCCCCTCCCCCCCCCCCCCCACCCCACCCCTATTTGCAAACACAATGATCGCACGATGGGCTGATCAAGACGACTCATATGCTTTGAGGCAAGCTTGCACGGCTTAAAGAAGCGGGGGGTTGGGGGGGGGCGCAGCCCCCCCCATTTGCAAACACAATGATCGCATGATGGGTTGGAAAAAAACTCATACGATTTGAAGCAAGCTTGCAGAGCTTAAAAAAAGTGGAGGGTTGGGGGCGGGTGCAGCCCCCCCCCATTTGCAAACACAATGATCGCGTGATGGGTTAAAAAAGCTTCATATGCTTTGGAGCAAGCTTGCACGGCTTAAAAGGTGGTGGGGGTTGGGGGGGTTGGGGGGGGGAGGGGGTGCAGCGCCCCCCATTTGCAAACACCATGATCGCATGATGGGTAAACAAAAATCGTCTGAGTTGAAGCAAGCTTGCACGGCTTTTAAAAAGTATCGATGGTGGTCTTCCTGCAAAGGTTACAGAGTTTGAGATGCTTGGCCAAAAGGTTTTTCGATGCTCGGCGGAGGGTTTTTCGATGCTGGGCGGCAGGTGTTCGATGCTCGGCAGAAGGGTTTTTCGTTGCTCGCCGGAAGGGGATGGTTGCCGCCGGACCTGGATCGATGCTGGCGGGCCGTTTACGTTGTTATCTTTCGTTGTTATGAGACATCTTTCGTTGTCCGCCGGAAGTTTTTCGTTGTTCGCCGGTACCCACCCGGATTTTCATAGGGGGTACTATAATCTCTAGGAGGGACTGTTAGTAATATGGGGAACATCCCAATCTGTAGGGCTTGTCGGGTTCAGAGGGCTTATAGGGTTTGTGGGGTTTACTACTATTGGCGTAACAAACACCAAAAAAGAAGGACAATAAACCCTATTTTACCCTTATCAGGAAGAATATTCTTTTTTTTGGTTTTTTTTTTTTGGGGGGGGGGGCTTAAGCAAATAGTGGTCTATGTGGTTTATGGGGTTTATGGGGATTCTGGGGTTTCTGGGGTTTATGTGGTTTATGGGGTTTATCGGGTGTATAGGGCTGACGAGGTTTGAAGGGTTTAGGGTTTGTAGGGTTCAAGCTTTAGGGGTCATAATAGGGCTTAGAGCATCTGAGGGTGCAGGATGTTACAAAAAGGGTTAGGGGATTTGGGGATATTGTCTGTGGAGCCTGTAGTGTTTGTTAAGGGATGTCGGGTGTATAGGGCCTTTGGCTTCAGAAGGTTTATAGGGCTTAGGATTTAGGGGTTCGCAAGGTGTAGGGAAAGGCCCAAGCAACTGCGCCGCCGAAGGGGTGGGGTGCTTAGGGCTGAGTTTGAAGCCGGGGGGAGGGGTGAGTGTGAGAGAAAGAGAAAGACGGGATGTAAAGCTTGGGGTTCAGGGTTTAAGGTTTATGTTAAGCACCAGTAGGCCGCAATGCCGCTTTCCAGTGTTTGAGAAGTCCTTGAGGGCTTGGTATGGTAGAGTTGAGCTGCTGTAAGGTTTGGGCTCTTAAGGGTTCGTGGTTGTTCTTTTACTCAAGCGACTCGGAATGCTTTCGAGGCGCATGGCAAGTTGGGTGCACATCAGGACCTGACCAGCTGGATTTTCATTTGTTGGGGCGTGGGGAAAGCTGGCGCGGGTTAGGGCCAGGGCTTCGGGTTTAGGGCTTTGGGGTTTTGGGGTTTAGCGGGGCTGAGCAAGGGTAGTTACATGGGCCCTTAGTATGGTCCCTAACCTCCTTTAAAAGGTTCTGATGTATGCGCCCTTATTTTGGTATAGGGTACATAAGGGGTAGGGGTACCTTTCAAGGGCCCATACTAAGGGACCATGTACCTGCCGCTGGCACCAAGAGCCTCCAGGCGACACAGGAAAACGCTAGAACAACAAAGCCCACGACACTGAGCCAAGGTCTAGCGTTTCGGA